CAGAGGGCTTGGAGTCGAACGAAGAAGATTTTTCTGTTTTTTTTATTTTTTTTAATTTTTTTAAATACTTTAATTCCTTCGAAATATTTGAGATTGGAGATTCGAACCCTCGACCAAGAGGTTATAGTTGAATTATTTTCATTTTTACTTTAATGCGCATATATACATATATATATTAAATTTAAAAAAATGGAAAATTTTTAATCATCATATAAATATTTCTTTAATTTTATATAGAGTTGGAAAACAGCGAACTAAAAAATAAATTAATTTTTAAAAAAAATTAATAACGTTAATGAAACTTTTGAAAGTTTAAATTTATTTTTTAAATAAATAATTTTTTAAGTTGAATATATTTTTTTTAGGTATTATTGAAATTTTTAAAAATTTAAGAATTTTTTTTAGATAAAATACAAAATTCAGAATATTTTTATTAATTTAACGTAAGGTATTTTTACGCGAAAATTAAAATTATTTTCATGTTTTTGTTTAAATCAATATTGTACCGTATTATACTCATACATCCATATTTAATGAATTTAAAATAAAACAAAAAAACAAAAATAATATATATAAGGTATTTTATTAAATTTAAATAATTTGTTACTTGTCATTTTATTTTAAAATTAATATTATTTTACTCATGCCAATACAAAATTAATTTAAAATAAAAAATAGTAGAAAATAATATTGAAATAGAAAGTATAATAAGGTGACAAGGAGACAAGATCGTAGGGCTGAGAATGGAGGAGGGAAGATGATGAGATTTCTGTTGGAATTTTTGTCTTATTCGGTGAAATTGTTTTGTTGTTTCTTTTGGTTGTTGCATTTTTGGAGATAACGTTTTCAAAATGGTCCATTCCTTTGGATTTGTTTTATTCCATTGAGATATTGTTTTGTAAGGCATTCTTTGCTTCGACCCTCATCTAAACATATGTGGTCGTGACTGTCTCTGTTCATTTCCAAACAGATAACATGTTTAGGTCAAACAGTAAATCTAACGAGATTATTCATTTGATAGACTTATTGTAATACACGACACGAGATGAGTTAATCGTGATAGGTGTTACGTTGTATGATTGATCGTATGTAAAAAGAGGTGTCTAAGTCGTGACACGATGGAAGGTTACTTGTACAAACAACAAGGTGTTGGATACCAATGCAGTTGCGGTAGGGAGGGGCCGGGAATTATTTAAACTCGAAATTTTGGAGGGGCCACTCTTAAGGTTCAAAATATGTCGAACACCCATCAATTATTTTTGCATGACTTCAACTTTAACTTGTTAGAATGTCTCGAACGAGAGACACTAACCTAGATGATAGGCTAGTAGTATGTTGTGAGCTATACTAGATGTGATAGATAGGCAGACAGTATTCTCACATTATTTGACATGCCAAAGATTGCTGATGTGGCTTTGTTGAGTCCAGTGAATGTTTCGAGTGTTCGAGAGAAAATATGTAGATTGTTGTTGCCAAAATTCAGATCGGGCAACACATAAACAGTAAAATTTGTTTGAGGGAGAAAAAGCGTAACTTTAAAAAACAAGAGAACCCGTGTTTGTCACGTAAATTCTGATGTTTAAGTTACCAACGAAAAATTTAGTATAGTAAGAATTTTATGTTTTTTTTTTTGCTGCCCTATTTGATCATTGATTTACACAGGTCTTTTATGTTTGTCCTTACGGTCTAATTTCACTCGTGAAAATATATAAAATTTTAAGGAGAATAAATATAATTTTTTAAAATAATTTTATCATTTTTATTTTTTTTAATTTGTTAGGACAAATAATTTTGGCAGTTGAACTATGCTCATCGTTGATGACGGTAACGAGTTAATTAGATTAAAAAATTCGAAAATATATAATTAATCGTTAAATTTTTAATTTTGTATCTAGTAATTAAAATTTTATTTTATGTTCTTATTTATTATTTTTATAAAATTTATAGGCTTCTAAATACAAAATAAAAAATAAATAAAAATAAAAATAAAAATCATTCCTTTCGCTTTGTATTTGTTTTGTGAAGAAAAGTTGCGGTGAAGGGTCAAACTTGAGAGCCACAACGGTGATGAATGAATATTTTTCATTTTCTTCACGAACTCCAACTCTGTGCCAGACGCCAATCCACAGCAGCCGCCGGGAAGCTCCATTCTCAGATCATCAAAGCCGGCCTCGACAAAGCTGGCCCTCTCGCCAACACCCTTCTAGATGTATACGGCAAATGCGGCCTCATTCCTCAAGCCCTCCAACTGTTCGACGAAATGCCCCACAGAGACCATGTCTCCTGGGCCTCGATTCTCACCGCCCATAACCGAGCCATTCTTCCCCGACGTACCCTTTCAATGCTTAGTATCATGTTTACGCATGATGGGTTGCAGCCTGATCACTTTGTCTTCGCCTGCATCGTCAGTGCCTGCGCCAGTTTGGGGTATTTGCGGCTTGGTAAGCAAGTTCATGCTCGGTTTATGTTGTCTTCCTTTTGTGATGATGAGGTTGTTAAGTCGTCTTTGATTGATATGTATGCTAAATGTGGGATGCCCGATGATGCTCGTGCTGTTTTTGATTCAATCTTGTTTAAGAATTCTGTTTCTTGGACTGCTATGATTTCTGGGTATGCTAAATCTGGGAGGAAATCTGATGCTATTGAGCTTTTTCAGCGAGTTCCTGTGAGAAACTTGTTCTCTTGGACTGCTTTGATTTCTGGGTTGATTCAAAGTGGGAATGGAATTTATTCGTTTTCTTTGTTTAATGAGATGAGGAGAGAAGGAATTGATGTTGTAGATCCTTTAGTTTTTTCGAGTGTTGTTGGAGCTTGTGCAAATTTGGCTCTTCTGGAACTTGGAAAGCAAATGCATGGCTTGGTTATAGCTATTGGTTTTGAATCTTGTTTGTTTATAAGCAATACACTTGTGGATATGTATGCTAAATGTAGTGACATATTAGCAGCTAAGGATATCTTTTACAAAATGCCACGAAAAGATGTGATTTCTTGGACTTCAATCATAGTTGGGACTGCTCAACATGGGAAAGCAGAGGAGGCATTGAGTTTATATGATGAAATGGTTTTGAGTGGAATAAAGCCAAATGAAGTGACCTTCGTAGGATTACTTTATGCTTGCAGTCATGTTGGTCTAGTTACCAAAGGCCGTGAATTATTTAGGTCCATGACAGCTGATTATAAGATCAATCCTTCTCTCCAGCACTACACATGTTTGTTAGATCTCCTAAGTCGCTCAGGACACCTTGAAGAGGCAGAGAATCTACTGAACAAAATGCCATTTAAACCAGATGAGCCTACTTGGGCTTCTCTATTGAGTGCATGCAAGCGACATAATAACATGGAAATGGGAGTTCGAATTGCTGATCATGTCTTGGATTTAAAACCCAAAGATCCTTCGACTTACATACTCTTATCGAATGTTTACGCCGGAGCGGAAATGTGGGAAAGTGTTTCAAAGGTGAGAAGGTTGATGAGTTGTATGGAAGTAAGGAAGGAACCAGGTTATAGTAGCATAGACTTTGGAAAGGAGAGCCAAGTATTTCATGCTGGGGAGACTAATCATCCTATGAAGGATGAGATTTTTCATTTACTGAAGGATTTAGATGCTGAAATGAGGAGGAGAGGCTATGTTCCTAACACTAGCTTTGTTTTGCATGACATGGAACAACAAGAGAAGGAGAAGCAGCTGTTTTGGCACAGTGAGAGGTTGGCTATGGCTTATGGACTTCTCAAGGCTGTTCCGGGGACGGTTATTCGAATCGTGAAAAATCTTCGGATTTGTGGAGATTGTCATAATGTTTTGAAATTCACTAGTGATATAGTGAAAAGGGAGATTGTTGTTCGTGATGCCACGAGATATCATCATTTCAAGGACGGGAAATGTTCTTGCAATGATTTTTGGTGACTCTGTGGGATGATACTCTTCTACATAGCTCGAGATTCTCTGGCTGAAAAAAGGTATGAACTGGTGGAGTTTTTAGAAGCACTTTTCTGCATTTTCTGCATCTCTTCCAGTTTATTGATAACAAAAGTAGAGAAATGATCAAAATATTTGTGTAACTTTTAGACCAAAAAGAAGCAATATTGTTGTACACTTGCTCTTATATCTATACAATTTCCTCGCACATCCTCGAATATTTTGTTGTCCCTTTTATCCTTGGAACAGCTCTTGAGGTCTTCTTCTATAAGGATCTTTGCCTCTCCTTTCGGCCTTTACGGGTTATAATGGGAGATACCATTGTTTCTGTTACAGTTTGAACTGTTGACTTACGTAATTGGAAGTAACCAATTAAGTTTACGACGAAACCTAAAAAATTCTAGATTGTGAGATCCCACCTCGGTTGGAGAGGGGAACGAATCATTTTTTATAGGGGTGTGGAAACTTCTCCCTAACAGACGCTTTTTAAAACTGTGAAGTTGACGGCGATACATAACAGGCCAAAGTGGACAATAGGACTTGGACTGATACAAGTGGTTGACGGCAATACATAACAGGCCAAAGTGGACAATATCTACTAGCGGTGGACTTGGACTGATACAAGTAGTATCAGAGCCAGACACCGCAGGCTTGAACTGTTACAAATGGTATCAGAGTCAGACACCGGGCGGTGTGCCAATGAAGATGCTGGACCCTGAAGGAGGTAGGAGGTGGATTGTGAGATCTCACCTCGGTTGGAGAGGGGAATGAAAAATTCTTTATAAAGGTGTGATAACCTCTCCCTAGAAGAGGTATTTTAAAAACCTTTAAACCTTCCGAGAAAGCCCAGAAAGGAAAGTCCAAAGAAGACCATACCTGCTAACAAGAGCAGATCCGTTCTTTTAATTGGAAGTACTAATCCAATTCAATAAAATTATGTTTTGTAATTTCGTTATCCAATTTTTTCAATTTCGAATTTATATTTTTCCGATGGAGTTATATTTAAATTATGTGTTTCCAAATGTCAATCCATCAACTAACAGTCTGAGATATTATTTATGTATTAAATAATTGAAAGAATGAAAAAACTGGAAAGCACAGGGATTAAACATAGAATTTTAACCCATCTTTTACAACACTTCCATAAAGAGGCAAATCAAAGAACATAAAATCAAGGGGTTGGGAGGCAAAATGATAAATACAGCTCCAGAAACATTGGAAGATTACATGATCAAAGACATGAAAAACATATGCTCATCTTTAGTAAGGATGGTGTCTATGTTTCCTTCGACCACCGGGTGACTTGATAACTAGAGTGCTCGAGATCCAAGATCGATTAGTTTCGCAAGAATCGTCTGAAGACCAACAACATAAACGTCCATCTTCTCCGCCCGTCCATCCAAACACACCTTGGCTACGTGAAAATCCACCCAATATGTTTGTCATGGGCAAGACACTTCTTACGATGCCAATGTGGCCACCCTCAAGGACAACGTCGGGTGATTCAATCGCATTCTTCCCCTTGTGATGGTCGACCGGGAAGTAGCCTACTGTACCATCGTTGGTACCTCCAAGAACCCATAATCTATCACCTTCACTCGAGTAGTGACAATCAACTAAATAATCAACCTGTCAAACAAGGAAGCATGGTATGATATGTATGCATTTTCAATCGTGAAACTTTCAAGAACTGCATGAACCCATTCACTCCGACTAGCAATAATCGAACTCTTTGAATTGAAAGAGCAAGTAAAATCTGATCTAAGTAATTATCTCAAGACATCAGAAATAGTTATTTGTTTCTCTTTCAACCGGGAAAGGTAACAACAAGTTTAAGAACCTATTAGGTACCCTTCAAAGTTCTAGGACTATATAAACATAAATCTAAAAGTTCAGAGACTAAACTTGTAACTTAACCAATAAATACGTTATAATCCTCACACGTCATCGTCGTCAAGTGCCGGTGACACAAGTTCATTGATAAAAGAAAAAGAGAGACGAGATAGAAAAACTCACACGACCCATTGCCCAACTGTTGGAAGCTAGTGTGCGGGCATCTGTGATATCTGCCTCATTTCTCCCATCCGTCCAGTCCCATAAGCTACCATAGCCCATTTGCATAAAACTTCACCATTAGATAACTAGAAAAGCAACTCAGAAGATATAGTTTTCAATTGTGAAAGGGAAAGAAAATGAAAGCTATGAGAAGCAAATTCAACCAAGAACGCACAAGTATCACAGGGCCTAAAAGTTTTGCAATCAAGAAAGAATTGCAAATCCTCACAGAGGGAAGAAATGGCTACAATTCATTTTACTTAGTTGCACTGATGGTGTGTAGAAAAGAAGATTGGTACCTCAAGGTTTCAATGTGAGTCAAGCACCACAACTTTCTATAGTTCTCTCCAAAGAATCCGATCTTACCAACTGAAGTTCCAACGTTTATCACCTGCATGATCATGAGGGTAACACACTAATAAAATATCTGTAGAATTGAGCTTGAAAACCCACTTAAGAAATCTCTTACTTAGAATTCAAGTTAAAATAAAATAACAAATCAGTCACCCGAACTGCAAGGATTTGTAGGAGAGTAGTGGTTAGTCAAACAGAAATTCGATTCTTAAAATTTATATAAAGGAAGTACAATTGTAATAGCCCAAGCCCACTGCTAGTAGATATTTGTCCTTTTTGGACTTTCCTTTCTGGACTTCCCCTCAAGGTTTTAAAACGCGTCAACTAGGGAGAGATTTCCACACCCTTATAAGGAATGCTTCGTTCTCCTTTCCAACTGCTGTGGGATCTCACAACAATAAAATATAATCGTGCTTACTCTTCCCGTTAAAATAGAGTCATTAAATGGGCCAATGGATTAGTCACCATGAAGAACTCCAATAATGCTATAGCATTCTAGATTTGCAAGCAAAGAATGTGCACCTAAAATAATAGGCTTTTTTTTTCTTTCTATATTCACGAGTGTTCGGACCAACTTGCGTGCACCCCAACAAAGTAGTAGACATTTATTCAAGCAAATCAGCTCAATCAGGAAAGTATCTATGCAAATAACATTGAGATAATAGTGGCTACGTACAGAATCCATATGTTCGTCATCATCGATGTCCCCATTAGTGTCAAATATACAAACCAAACCATCCACGGAAGCAGAAGCAAGCTTGGCTTGATGGCCAGGGATAAAGTGAACCTGTTAACAAGAGCAAAATTGGATAACATGAGTTATACTACCACCAACAGAATTCAACCAAACAAAAAGGATCCCCAGGAAACAGAGTACTACAAAAGAGCGGTGGATTTAAGCCAAGTTGAATGACCACGATTTCTTGTAACTATATCTAATTGTAAAATATTATATCAGAAGAACCCAGAAGTAACAAATCCCTAATTGTCATAACATGCAGTTCTCAATTCTTTTCTATAACCACTATAGCTTTTGTACAGAAGTTTTTATATTCCAACATGTTTTTCTAAAGAAAATCGAAAGCATCCGTTACATCTCTAGTTATTATTTATTTGAGACTGCTATTCACTTATATCTAATAGGGAATGCTAGACACACCATCATGGCAACCTCTAAGAGCTCTACCCTTCTCTTGATCGTTATTTCAGTAGTCGATAACTTGCATTGATCGTTATTTCAGTAGTCGATAACTTGAATATCATTGCTAACAAGCAAAGTGATTTTGCACATCATTGCTATGCAAATTCAACAATCAAACTATTTCCTAGAAAGAATATGATTCTCAAAAGCTAGTGGTTGTTAGAAATGCATCCTACTTTTTAAGAGGACAGGAAACAATTTTCAATTTCAAGGAAAAACCATCTGCACAAAAGCCCGAATCTGAGAAAAATACCGATGTCTAAACAATTTTCATTGCAATCACATATTATCTTAAGTTGAACAGGCACATGATTACTTTTTAAAATTGAAGCAATAGCTAAGTATAATCAAAATTATAATCACTATATACAAGATACATTGCTCAAGCATCAGGAAGAACCTGAGTGACATCTTCCACATGAGAGTCCTCCAAGCACGCGACTTGCTTTCTGTTCCTCCAATCCCAGAAGAGTATCTGAGCAACATAACCAAATAAGTTCAATTATTCTTTAAGAGTTCTTTTCACTAATGTCTCTAAACTCGTCGTTTGTAACGTCTCATACTTTTAGTTTTCATATTAAATGAACGGTTAAATTACAAGTTTGGTCCTTGAATTTTGTTAATAAAACTTTAAGCCTTCAACTTTACGTGGAATAGGTTCATGAACCTTAAATTGTGTCTAAGAAATCCTCAACTTTAAAAACTGACTATTAGATCAATGATCAAACAGACACAAATGAAAGGTTAAAAGAGATTTATTAGGCATAACATTCAAAGCTTATGATCCTATTAGCAACTTTTAAAAATTTAGGAACTGAGAATAACTTCAAAAGTTCTGGCACCATTCTTATAATTTAACCTAAATGAATTCACAACAGATTTCCAGCACTCTCCGCAGAACAAGAAATATGAAGAAAAAACATAATTATAATGAAATTAACGTCTCTACTAAATCAAGCCCACCTGAGATTTACAACCTGCAGCAAGGAGATTCATACTCGATCCTCCATAGGCAAAGCTGAAGATCTCTTGAGAAGGGCCAGCACTAATGGATGAAACCTGCAATTGTAGCAAACAAGAGCATAACCCAAACTCCCAAACCAAAACAATGAATAAAAGGTAAAAACTAGACAAAACAAACCCAACCTGCTGAAAATTCCGCACGTCCCAAGATCTGATAGTTCCATCAGAAGAACAAGAATGCAATACATGTGGGATTGATGGCACTGCGAAGGAAATTTGATTGATTGTTCCAATGTGACCTCTGCACTCTCCATAGTACTGGCCAGTCACTGGCGAGTACAGCTTCACAACATTCGAAGATAACGACACCGCCATTTGCGTCCAATCCCCACTTCAAAAAGAAGTTAGAACAAAACCCTTGATTACCGAGACAAAAATAAAAACAAGTTGAAACGACACAGACCCAGTTGGAAATTTCTTACTTGGGAGCGATGTGGAAGACGTAATCGTCGCCGAAGTTGGTTTGAATGGCATTCTTGAGCCCGAAGCGCTTGAAGGAGCTTGAATCTACACTGGAATCGGCATTGACGGGCTCCTCGACGTCCATGTCAATGGATTCCATTATTTTTTTTAGTCTAATTTCTGTGCGACGAAACAGAGCAAAATTGAAAACAAGTTTCTGAATCTAAGTATAAGAAATTGCGGGGTGAAGAAGGGTTTTAGGGTTTAGGTGGAAATCGATGGCGGCATTGAACAAACCGTTGGAGGCGCGCAACCAGTTCGCTCCAATTGATCAACTGTTAGGGCTGATAACCCCAAATACGACGCCGTTTTAAAGCCTGAAGTTATTTGAACAAACCAAATATAATAATCATAAACAATAATAAAATTAAATCATTGTTTTTTTTTCCCCAAAACTTTAATAAAAAGTGACAATTTCTTCCCTCAATTTTAATATCTAATAATTTAGTTGATGGGCTTTTAAATTCCTGACAATTTAACCCATGAATTTTTTTTTTTATCAAAATTAAATATTAGGGTTTTATTATTTGAGATTTAAAATTTATGGTCGGAAAATTTATTGATTCCCGTTATAAAATAAACTTATTTATGAATGACTATATTTCTATTGCATTCGTGTATAGCCGAACAAAGATCTCTACTACACAAGGGTAGAATCTTCCCCAAATCTTTGTCCTCTTTATCCTATGCTTCCTTTATAAATGGAGGGCATAGTGGTCAATTAACGTTAAAGCATACGCATTTGATACAAGACTTGTCTCTAAATCAAACAAGATAAGTAGATTTGGGTGTCGTTACAATTGTGAGGTTGAAGAAGATAAATGTCATCCCCTTCTCGCGTTGATGAGACACTTACATAAAATCTGTTTCCTTGAGACTTATCTCTAAACAATATGATGTAAGGTTCATCACTTGTTCTAAAAAAATAGTCCATACGCTCACAAACGCTAAAAAAAGAGATATCAACTTCAAACCTCGTAAACCAAAACAAATCTCGATACGGGTACCACAAAATTAGTAGTCATATTCGCAAACGAAAAGTTCGAAAAGCTCTTAAAAGTAATACAAAGAGCAGAGAGATGAAATCATCAGCAATCCTTTCAATGGAAGCTCATATCCAATCTCATAAAAACAGGCAAAAAAAGAAGAATCAAAGTTGAGCAATAGAATGATGTAAATTATAGACATAAGAACTCCCTGGTCTCCCTCCCAACATATTCCCTCCATTGATTTCTATAGTTCTTATGGATTTGAATGAGAACAAACCAGAAGTGAGCTTGATTATGTTAAGGGTACAATGGCAGATCCGTCCAAGCTCCAGAGACATGCCCATTCTCACAGACATAAGCTCGAACAACTGGCTCACCATCATCATGGTACCCAAAAACCCGCCTCAAACAGAACCCAGAATGCAAATCCCAAGTCTCATTGCACGAGCAAAAAGCACATTTCAGATCAATTTTGTTCCTGTTCCCATCTTTGATCGTTCTCCATACATGAGAACCTTTGAAGTTCTTGAAAAAGCCTCTAAAAAGCATGTAATTCCGCTTCTCTTCGATATGAACACAGCCAGGCCAATCACAAATGTATAAACAATCGCCTCTAAATTGACTCCTAAGCAGCTTATTTCCTTGTTCCCTGCTTAAATTCCAAACCCCAGATGCCAAATGCGACCCCATAGACCTACAGATCTTCCTCCTTTTGGAAGCACAAAATTCCCCATCCGACACAAAAACCCCCTTCTCGACCTTCGTACCACCGATTTGAGGGTCGAGAACATCCGGGGATTCAGAATCGTTATATACAGTATCAAGATACAGATCATCGTAAAGCGACCAAGCACAATCAGAAGCAGAAGCAGAAGCAGAGAGATCAGAATTAACCTCAATTTGAGCAGTGGAGGACTCCGATTCGTGTTTCGAGTCATGAGTCGAGCTCAATTCCAGATACTTTTCATCCGGACCGAGTTCCCGCTCGAGCCCGAAATCGGAATTCTCGAGAAGAACGCCGGAATGGTGCAAGCCTGGACAACAGACGGCGAGTTTAAGAAGCGAGGCCCAGCCGCCGGGGGGAACAGAGTCGCCGACGACAAGATCGGCAACAAGAGAAGGGATGGCTTGATTACACTTGTTCTTCCAGCAGATATTACGGATTGTAGAGGAGAATCTGGTGGAAACACAAGCCAGACGAGCCCAGTAACAGGGATTGTCTTCGAGCTTGAAGAAGATGTTGAGAAGAATGTCGTCGGGGAGGGTGGAGAAGAGGGATTCCGCCATTGCTGAAAGTGGGGAATGGGAAAGGGGAATCGAGGGTTTTGAATGGCTTATAGGGATGAGAGAGAGAGAGAGAGAGAGAGAGAGAGAGATTGGGATGGTGAAGGGATTGGTGGTGGGAGTGGAAGACTGTCCTGTCGATGCCTATACTCACCATTTGCATCCACACACCGTCCTCTGGTTTTGCGTCCACACAAATAGACCGATTTGCATCATAGGAACACCAGCCATTCTCCAATAATTCTCTTTCCCAACTGTTCACCGACGTATACCTAAAACTCCTCCAAAAAGCTTTGAAATCACCATTTTATGTTTGTTTTTAGCATAAATGCAACTAGACAATCACTATTGATCATGAGTTATATGATCGAATACTATTGCGTTATGTTTACTTTATTAATTGTATGGGTTCTTTTAAACTTTTTATGGGTAACTTCGAAGGTCGAATTTTGTGTTGGATTGATTTTGAGTTTATTGGACATTTTTTTTAAGCTCATACATCTCTATAAGTAAAAACTAAAAAAATTGATGTCGTAAAACTAAAGTTTTACAAACAACCTATCAGCCAAAAAATTGAAAGTTTATGGATCTACCCGACATCTTTTTAAAGTTTATGGGAATAAACTTGTAATCATCTTTTTTTCTAACTAAAACATGGGTTAAATGTGTGATGGTTCCTAATGTTTGGACCCTTGAGTTTAAATACTTAAATTGGACGATGATGATCCTATATGTCGTAATTTTGAATGAATGATAATAAGAAATTAGGAATGGATTAGGCAATTTAATACCATGTATAATAAAATAAAATAAAAAGATTGAAAAGACGCTTAAAATGTAAGAGACTAAACTCAAAACATTTAAAGAATGAAAATTAAATTAAGAAAAAACAAAAAAAGAGTTGACTGAATAATGAATTAGGCCTATATAATATAATACAAGCATGGAATTGTCTTTTACATTATTCATAAACCTGGATGTATAAAAGGCTAATTATAGGATTTGTCTATAATATATGCTCATTGTCCAATCAATATGAGCCATCAATACATTCATTGAATCATAAACTTCAAAAGAAAACCATTAATACATCTTGAAAATTGAATTATGTTTCTACAATCCAATACATACAACAAGACTGGATGAATAGCAAGGCAAACTAGAATGTTAAATAAACAAGATAAAGAGGATGAATCACTTGAGTAAAATGAAACAACATATATATTCTCTAAAGGCAAGTATTTTACCCTTGTAGTAATGTTAAACCACCAAAAGCACTTTTCACCTTAAAATGAACAATGAATACAATCCTCAAAATACATATATAGACGGAAGGATAGTACAAACAAATTTAAAGCTAGCAAGTAAATACAGAACAGTTAAAGCATCTTCTAGAGGAGGAAAGTTTAAAGAAAGATACGAAAAAAAGGAGAAAGAAAAAGGTAGAAAAGGATTGGAAAGGTGAGAGAGACGAAAGTGAAAGAAGCAACATAAAGATGTGGTGGTGGGTGTTGCAATGTATGTTTTGATGGAAAATATCTATAAAGAAGAGGTGAAACCACTGGCTGAGGACATTCAAAGGACAAACACTTGAGCCCCATCGATAAGAAAGGAATCTAACATTTCACCTCACACGTCTCCCAATCACTACTGTTTTTGTTTTTGCTTTTCAATCTGCGTTTTACCTTTGTTTAGCATCACAAATACCCTTCATCCATAGTGCTCCTCCCCCATTACTCACTCTTAAAAGTTCACTTTCAACTTTCAACCCCAACCCCAAACTTCCCGAACTCTGTGTTTAACTAATCCTTGAACTTTAAAAAATGTTAACTGGTTTTTAACTCTCAATTTTGTGTCGAAGGAATTCTTAAGATATCAATTTTGTATGAAATAGATCCTAGAACAGTTTTAACATTTGCTTTCTACTAAATACAAAATTGAAAGTTTAAAGTCATGCAATGCATAAAAAACAAGAGGTGTAGACATTGTCGTGGCATTGATTCAAAGAGCCAACTCAATCAAGTTAGAATTCTCAGGGTAGGTTTGTTCAGTCATGATAAATGAGAAATTGAAAAACGACTCTAAAATACGTCCCAAGGAGAGGACAATATCTGAAACCATTGAACTAACTCCCTATTATGAAGGCCTAAACAGATCTTGACCGAAAATCTTTCAAAAATTAAGCACAGTTTTTTTACTGAACTACTGACTCAAAATGCATATCAATCATCGAAGTTAAAATTTTGACACATATGGCATTTGATGCACAAATTCACAACGTCCTATCCTAGCCATTTAAAAATTTCATCCAGCATTTCAGGTCGACATATTGGGGTTGGGAATAGAGGTAAGTGAGTAATACCAGTTAGAGGCCCTTCCAAACGTCTCTGACATCCGTTGAGGCCCCTCCCTTCTCTGTGGATGGCAATATAAATACTACATTGACCCTTCTTCGCCAGACCATTTGGGAAGGGGAGGAGGGTCGTCCTATATCAATAGAAATTACAATGTGCTAAGAGCTTATTGATTAAACCAAAACTTGGAAATAAGTGGCATTAACACATTCACATCATCCTCATCGAGCAAGGGAAAAAAAGAAGTGAATTGACCTTGTTGCATGACTTGTGAATTTCATACCGGATTCAAGAAAGACAGAATAGAATGTAAATAACAAGCCAAAAACTGTTCAAATAACAACGCATGTCTATGCATTCTGCATTATTCAATCTCTGAATGATGATTATGACTATGCATGAGCAGCATCAACATGTTTACCCTCTTTGGCCTCCCCTTTGGCCGCTCTTAGTTTACGCTGCTCCTCTTTGTAGACACGGTTTCTTCTTTGAAACTGTAAGGAATGGTTCAAACAAGCAAATTGAATTAGGACGGATTCTTACAAAGCAAGCAGAATCAATTTTTAATAAAAGCAGAACATACTCCTTGCCTTTTAGGGCATATTTGGGAGATTTTGAAATGATTACAATTACTTGTACGGTATTCCAAACCACTCTGAAAACATGCTTTTAATTTTTCAAAACCAATTTTTATGATACTAAAATCGCCTTTAAAAGTGTAAAATGATGCATCAAGTTGATTTTGAATGACTAAATTTTGAGTAATTCTACACCTAACAAAAGTGATATTAACCATTACAAAATTACTTATAAACATGCTCTAGACGTTTATCCAGGTTTTCCTATTCTATAACAGTGTGCTTAGCCCTTGTATAATGAATTTCGCAATTAAACACTTCGATTAAATTTTTTGTTTGTTTCAGAAATCTGAACTAATCTCCCTCTGATCTCAAGCCCCAAAAAAGAGTAATACTTCAGCCACCATAAAACTTCTCACTAATATATTCATGTCTAGAAATGTGAGAAACAAGTGATAGAATAAGTACACTTTTGTTATTTCAGGGAAAGAAATCAAACTTTCATCGAAGAAAATGAAAGACTACAAGATCATACAAAAAAACAAGCCCAAAAGAAAAGGGGCTTCGATCAAACTACAGGTGTCTGACTCTAACTACAAAAGGGGCTTCGTTCTTCGACCCCAAGACCACAATTACAAAAAGGCCTAATGACCAACGACCACAAGGAAGCATTAAGCCTAACAACCTCTAAATCTCCGCACCCCACTTCTCATTCTCCTAAAAAATCTCATTACATCTCTCAGCAAGGAAGCCGTCTCTCCCTAAAGGGAGGATTCAAAAGCACCCCTCCAACAACGATCGTCCATCTCTATGGTCCACGTCACTAACACCAAACAAGCTCCACCAAACAAGCTCCTCCAATGACCCTAAAGATAGTTCGCAAACTAACACTCCCATAACAAATGATCCATGTACTCCTCATGCCTCCTACAAAGAATGCACCACTCCTGTGTACAAAACTAAGGAAGAGTGTCTTTGGACACAATCGAAGATATTAACCCTCTCAAGTAAAACTTGTCATGCATAAAACGTCACTTCATTAGGAATTTTGAGCTTCCATGGGAGGAAAAAAAGAAGCACCAGAGCAGCTACCGACGCATGAGGAAAAGACATAATAAAAATATGAATGGAAGAAGAAACCCCTAGAAAGGTCAGAGGTCCAGACCCTAGCATCCCTTCTCCAAGGGGAAATACACTGAGGGATATAAAGTAGAGTTGCCGCTTGATAGTCCCTATAAGTAAGAAGACACGGAAAGCCTAAAGAGATTGAAGAACAGTTGCAACACTGAAGCCACTGAATGCAACTTCTTATCTGTAAGGAATCTAAGAAATACAAATGGAAACTAGACAGGGTGTCAAAAATAACATTCGAAAATGTGATGAAGGTGGAGGATTTCAGCACCAAGGTGAATAATATTGAAAGATTCTAGTTGCAAAGATTGACGCTGCTAAACGAACCACTTCATATATTAAAATGCTCATAGACATAGTTCGCCCCGAACAACATAAAACATTACTTTTGTATTTCCTACTTGTTCCCCATTAAAGTTTCTTCTCTTCCTTATATAAAGACATTCTTATATTATTCAATACATAAAGTCACCACGTTATCCAAAAATTGACTTTACTTATCATAATTTTCTGTTAAACTTAGCGTTTGGTGTTGTTTAATTGTCTTTTTACATTCAAATCTTCGTAGATAAGTTGAATCTTCAATAACCTAAAGATTTGCTGAAATCCATTGAGGAGAGACCGCTGGCAGATTCGAAAAATCAAGCATAAACACACTGTATGTTCAATTACGAAACCTACCCACCTTTCCCGCATTTCTTTTAAATTTTTTTATTATCCCCCCCCCCCCCAAAAAAAAAAAAA